TATATACACACATATATATATATATATATATATATATATATATATAAAATTATATATAAATATATATAAAATTTGTCATTATATTCCCGCTAAGGTACTTATTATTATGGATATTAATCGGCATGATAATCGTGAATGTTGTGGAGTGGATCTATTTATGAATCCGTCGATCGTTAATGTAATCAAACGTGTTCTGCGTGACTTTTAATAGAACACTTTAAAACTGATCATCGTTCTGCATTTTTTTCTTCTTTGCCCACATTTTGACTCTCCTCGACGTCATCCAGAAAATATCTCGATGCCTTCTCGTTTAAATAGGCTACAAGAGATTAACAAAGAAAGTAATAAAGAATAATGAAGATAACAAATTTATTTTCTTTAACGTAAGAATTTTAGCTTTATATCGATTGATATTTCTTCTTGTTTTATTATAAAGTAAATTTGGACGTTTAATTTTTTTACGACACATAAAGATTACGATGCGACGTATTGAATTAACAAGATAATTTTGTTAACAAAAAGGTTTTACTTTGTTTTATTTGCAAAATATTATTAAACATACAGTATATTAAAAAAAATTAAATATAGATCGTTTTATTGAAAAACATGTTTATGATGGTCCATGAAATAGTGAATATGGAAGAGGTCAACCGTAGCAGTCGTGGCCGAGTGGTTAAGGCGTCTGACTAGAAATCAGATTCCCTCTGGGAGCGTAGGTTCGAGTCCTACCGACTGCGAGAGGTGTGGGGCTATCCTTTTTTTTATTTAAATCGATATATGACGAACAATTACTGAATAAATGTAAAATAATCAATTATTTTATATCTATTAATATTAGTTTCTTTTTTACGATAATTAATGCATATATCATAAAAATAAATTATAATGCGATAATACAAGATTATTTCGTAATCAATATTACAATGCTGAAAAGATATTTATATCACGAGTTTCAGTCGCAATTGAAACAATGTGTTATATTTACTGTATCAGTTATCGATAGTTTTTTGCCAAATCAAGATAATCAGGCTACGGCGTCCCCTAATGGGATCCAACTTGTAAAAATAGAAGCTATTCACATTAAATAGCCTTGCGAATAGGCTTACCTGCTTTGTCGGCTTGAATGTGTCCATCGCTTACTTCTTACTAAATCTTCTTTGTTATTAAAAGAATGAATTATTAAGTAATTCTGATAACATTAAGATGATAACAACGAATTTTATTTAATTATTTATAGAAGAACCTTTCAAAACTTTCTGCTTGGAAATATATTCAATTTTTTAGAAAATTTATCTAAATTATTATTTCGTATGCATCTTATGATATATATTATATATTTACTTTGTTATAATTTGTATCTTTTAGTAAAAAATTAATATTTTTTATAGACTTTCTTTTTCTCAAGTTTTACAGATAAAAGATAGTGACGTTTAATAAATCCAACTTGTAAAAATAGAAGCTATTCACATTAAATAGCCTTGCGAATAGGCTTACCTGCTTTGTCGGCTTGAATATGTCCATCGTCTAGTTTTAAATTTTCTATGCGCTACTAGATGGCTAGCTGCTGGTTCTTCTTACGTCTAACAGTTTTCTCGAGAGTACTTTTATATCTTATACTATACATACGAGTATTAAAACATTTGTAGCCATACGACTAGGACTATATGCGTGCATTCCGAAAGGAATAAAATGATCACGAACAAATACAGGGCGGTTAATATGCTAAAATGCTTGGAACGATGCCGAGAAGAGTGGCAAAACTGCTTAACGTCTTCGATGTAGCAAAAATCGTTCCACATTTTTTTTTTATCAGAAGATTAAAATTATTTTTATAAAATTTGTTATACTACGCTATTTACGATTTGTTATAGATAGATATTGTGATGTATTTTAATGTATTTTGAATGTATGCAAGATCGATTTTGCTTTATTAGAAAAGTACTCGTTTACAATATATTTTTTTTTACTTATATTATGTTAGGATTTTTACTTGACTTTGTTACCGTGAGATATTCAGAGTACTTTCTATAACTATGTGAAATAAGATATTGCATATGATGTTTGTTATTAAAAGAATGAATTATTAAGGAAGTCTCATAATATTAATATAATAACAATGAATTTTATTTAATTATTTAAATAAGAACGTTTTAAAATCTTCTATTCGGAAATATATTCAACTTTTTAGAAAATTTATCTAAATTATTATTTTTAATGCATCTTATGATATACATGGTGTTCCGCGAGACTTCTACCACCGCTCGTAAAAAAGTAGATGACACTGTAATGAACATAAAAGTCCCATACTATTTTGTGGTATTCGCAATAACCGAGATATTAATTAATATCTGTATCAATCTATAATTTTTATTTTATATTAAATATGGCGACACATCTTCAAGATAAGGGCAAGAATATAATATTTTGCATAATACATAAAGTATAAGGTACGAGATCAATCAATTTTTCATTTTCATCCTTAAGATCAAAATAAAGGACTCTGGTTATTTTCTTTATGCCTTATGGTTTATGTGTAAAAGCATGTGTTCAAGATTTCAATGTTACACATATATACTCGTAAAATAAGAGTATAATAGAAGATAAAAAATAAAGTTGAAATGCAAAAAAATGAATGTTTGAATGAATTTTTGAAGAGCAAATGTAAAAAAATAATTTTAAAAATCCGTAACTGTAATCGAAGAAAGCGTAGTTTTAAGCGATTTTGTTTTTTTTTTACTAGTTCCAAGAATCCAAGAATCAGAACAAATATTATTAAACCGTAACTGGAACTAAATGAAAATATTCTTTAAATCCGGATTCCTATTTTCATTGGTCAAGAAAAAAAAATGAAACCCAAACAGATATTCAATCTTCTATCTTGTTAAACCATAACTGGAACCGACCTAAACCATCTTTTCGGCCCGGATTCCTAGATGTAAATGAGTGGCAATCAATCATAAGTAGGCAGGGAATAGTAATAAATAATGAAACAATACGCATGGTTTGAATCAAAATAGATAGATTGCGTAGGAAACGTACTCATCTGCCTGCAATTATAGATAAGATCAACGTACATATGGTTTATTATTCTCCATTTATTGTTCTCTATAACTCCGTACTATCTTTACGTAAAGCTATTACATGTCTGTTTCTCTGCCAATTGGATGATAACGGATCAATAGCTTCTCGAGTTTAGACATATCACTTGAGTACATGCGCACCTAAGAATAATAGCGTTATCTATCTCTATTCGACATACAACGTATCTAATCGTACAAGCAAAAAAGTTTTCGAGGACGAAAGGATGAAGATCGTAAGCATTATTTCGTATTTTTTCACCGTCATAGGCGTCGTTCGATCGAATTATCAAGAAGGCTACATCGACCGGACGATTCAAGAAATTTTACAATCGGTTGAACCTCACGATGTAATTATCAGACTTCAAAAATACGATATTTACGATGGAGCACGTCGTCTGCTTGACATTGTCGCCCGAAATGTGGCGACCACGTGGCCGTCACAGATCCTTGTCTCCGGAGGGATAATGGGATTCGGCTTCCAACCGGGAGACTTGGCTTCCTCCCGCACCTTCCTGATTTACATTTATGCGACGAACGACATGATCAACGTCGCAGAATTGAACGACATGCTGAACGACGTAAACTCGATATCTCATCCCAAGCATACGCCGAAACTCCTATTGATAATCGACTCGAATACAGGTATATTGGACGCACGAAGTCAACTCGAGTACTTGTGGGAGCAAAAGATTTTCGACGTGATTATCCTGGAGGTGTCTTTTCATCCGCGATCCTCGAAGCCGGTTCTCGTGGCTATACACCGTTTCAACGGGTTCAATGAAGATTACTCGAGAGTGGGCATTCGTGAGTTGACATACGACAACGGCACGGACTGGTACCCGAACAAGTCACAGAATATGTACGGCAATGCCTTTAGAGTGACGTTCGAGGACGTGCCTCCTTACGGCACCTTCGCGAACGGCACGGCAGGCGGTCTGGCAAAGCTGTTCTCCATCGCACTGTCGGCTGCCGTGAACGGCACGGTGTTGCACACGAGCAATTTGCAAGAAACCGACGTGAGATACAACGCTGAGGGGCTCGTATACGAAGAATGGTACAACACGCAGCACGAGCACACCATCCCTGTCGATGACGACAGGGTCTGCGCGCTCGTCCCGGCAGTGATGCCGGCAGCGAAAGTCCTGGTCGACTTCTGGCAAATCATCATCACGATCGTGTTCGGCTTCCTGCTGACGGCGGTGGTGTGGTGCGTGTCGCTGATCGTGAGAGTGAACGAGCGAATCCGCAATCCTCTGAACACCATCCGTCTCCTCCTCGGTATGACGCCGCTTTATGGACCCCACAGTCTCGTGGAGAAGATCCTGTTCGTCGCCGTGCTGATAACCGCGACGGAGTACATGATTATTTTTCAGGCGGAATTACTCGAGTTCGTGGTGGAGTTTACGGTCAACACGCGCGTGTCCACCTTCCAGGATCTGTACAACACAGGACTGAAGGTGGTGGTCTCACCGGTTATGCACGATGAACTCGCGACTATCGAGGAACTGTCTCCCGAACTCGCGAAGAGATTTGTGAGCACGGTCGACTACGAATTTCAAAGTAAGGACGGGAAGGTGGATACCTCGAAAGCGTATTTTACCTCCGAAATTAGCGGTAAATTAGCGGAGGCTAAGTTGAAATATAAAGGCAAACGGCTCTTTAAACTTTCCAGCCTGTGCATTTTATCGCATTATCGCGTACATAGACTTCATATTAAGTCACCTTTTAAAAATGAAGTTAATAACGTGCTATTGTCTTTAGCAGAATTCGGTTTCATGGCCAAATACATTGACGAATTCTGGAAAGATGAAAGAAATGAACGCAAGAATGAATTGACACTTAGTGATCACTCTATGTACGTCGCTTTTTTCGTTGTTATCGTGGGTCACATTATATCGTTTATTGTATTTCTGGGAGAGTTAATAGTAGATCAATTTTTTAAATGGAGCCACTTCTCTTTTTCTTTTAGATGTTGCAAATCAATAAAAATATTGAAATTATAACACATTAGTCAATTAAAGTAGTATAAAAAATTTTTAAATATATTTATGAAATATTTAAAACTATAATTCTTGTGTGTTGAAATGGAAATTAACGAATATCATTAGAAATATATATATATAAACATATATATATGAGAAAAACAGTGCTAAAGTATAAGATATTAAAATATCCAGTCAAGAATTTATATATATATATATTAATATCTTATATTTTAGTACTGTTTTTCTTATTGCATTGAATAAACTAGACGAATTATTCAACAATCATTATCTCAAAATTAAATTATAATTTAAAATTGAATTATATTATATTAATAAAAATAAATCTTTCCTATCTCCATAATTAGATATCAAATTAAAATATTTTATCTTTGTGAAATTTTTATCTTTGTAATTTTGAAAAATTAATTCAAATTGCTGAAAAATTTGTAGATAATAAGAAAATGTAATGTGAAGATAAAAAAATATTGTCTCAGATCTAATATACAAATATGTGTGCAATATATGAAGTCTTTTTTCAATTATGATAATTTAAAAATAGATCGATTGAAAGATTTTATATCAAAGTATTTTATTTGTTAACTAAGATACATTCACATACACACAACTCTCGCTTGTAGAATATTATCTCATGAAGGCCGTAAGAGCTGTGTGACGCAAGCGTATATAACAAATAAGAATATATCGTGTGCATCAGCGTTGCGCTCCATTCCGCCAATAAAATCTTGCAAAACGATTTACAATTTGCATTTCGTTTAAGATTTGACACCAATAACGCGACAGAAATAACGCATGGCAACTGGCACGACGTCAGTTTGCGATATCATATGATAAGGCTTTTAGGCTTTTTTATTGTTAAACGTTTTGCAACCTCGTGATTAAGTCTGTTTTCACTGTCATGTAATCAGTGGTTGTTTTTATATATAAATTGAAATAAATATCGAAATTGAAGTAAATCGAAAAGTTATAGAGATAATTATATCTAAGTCGGATAACCAATATGAATACGTCAAAAAAACAATATTTTAACAATGTAAAGTAATCATAAAGTTTCTTCACAAAAATGATCCTAAGATAAGTAAGTTAATCTATTGATTATCATAATTAAATAGCTTATAGCTAATAAATATATCGCTCCATTTTATGTTAATTATCGTGAGCTCATTCTCATTTGAAAACCGGACGACGAGCCTTCGATAAAGTGAAAACGTCGGTGACTTCTGTAGGTACATCACCCTTAAAGATAGCTGGCCTTCTTGCCTGCACAGTGGAAGATTTGTAATCGCGCGAACGTGACTTGTGTTTGTCCGCGAGCGATATCGCGGCGTATCGTAGAATTGCTGTTGTCTTTTAAATTGTCCGATAGCGCGTATCACGTGTCGCGTATCGTTATCATCGTCGAAACGTGCGTGCCGCACGTGGATGTCTCCATTCTAACCACGATATTTGTCGATGCTTTTGGCAGTGCCAACCACGACTCCTATTTATACGCCGCTCAAAAATATGTTGTGTGACGATCTTTCGCAGCTTTGTAAAAGTTAAAAGCCGCAAGAAAGTGAAAAGGTGAGAATTTAAGAAAAACTCTCGAGAAAATCTTCCAAGAATTGAAGTAGAGAAGTAACAGAAAGAAAGAAGTAACTTGTATTTTTAACTTTTGATCTTTTGTCTCTAATGTGATTATGATTTCTATTAGCAATATTTTGATCTCATTTTGATCTTTTTTTATCCGATCTACGATTGACAAAAAGAAACAACAAGTGATCTTCTTTGCCAAATCTTCCTCTCGGCCAATGTCATGATGCAAGATCGCCCTCATTTACGCAAAACTAAAAATAGCAACGATTATCACGAAATAAGTGAGTTTGTTTCTATCTTTTTTTTTTTTACATTTTACAATATAATTACTTTTAAAACATATTGCATTAGTATAATATAAATTTCAACAAAATTACCTAAATATTCATCAAAGTGTCCAAAAATTTTATTTGCAAGCAAGTTAAACATGTTTAAGATATCCATCGAATTGTTGATAATTATGTAATTATTATAAGTGCAATGAGAGGAAGATTGTGTAACAACATGAACAATCAAAGTGACAATCAAAGTGACGCACAAAAATGTACGAGAGGTGGGATGTTGAATATGGAGGGAGAATCGCACTGTTTGACGCGTGCGCATCCCCGCATTTTTTACCCCCGCCAAAGTACTCTTCTGGCTATATATGATGTAGATAGATTGCAGATTATTGCTTTCGTCTGAGCTCATGGTAATAGCAGCCCTTGGACATTGTATCACTCACATTGGACGATCACGTTGTATCACGAATTCAGGTATGATTGTCAACGCTATTCCATGCCAATCGTATATAATTTCCTTCCATTCATTATTAATTATTTGCTTTATCAGCGAAATAGTATTATTTTCTATTTGATCACGATAGAAGAATTACTCAATGTTTACTAAATGTAAAGAATAGCTTGTATTTAAATACAGAGAAATAAGTTGCAGAAGTTAATAAATGAGCAAAGTAAGATCATCTATTTATTAATATAAATGTGTATTTAATGCATTTTAACGATATGATAGAGTGATGATAAACATTTTATTTTATTTATTTGTCAGCTTTGACATTATTTATTTGAATTTAGTATCCATATAAAATGCATGTTTTGTCTTTTCGAATATTTATTATTAATTATTGATTTTCTCAACAAAACAGTATCATATTATTTAAGGTTACAAGACTATTTAAAATGTTTTAATCTATATGAAATACTGTTTCGTGAATAGAGAGTCAAATTATTATTCTTTTTCTAAAAGTTTGCGCAATAGAATCATTTATTAAAAAGTAAGTTTATTAAAGTATCTAAACATTTAGTCAAATGCAGAAAATAATTTAATTAGACCATCTCAAAATAATTACGTAATAATTATGTTTAAATTAGTTGCCAAACTGTAACAAAAAATTTTATACTCATTATGTTTAAGTATAATTATTTGCATAATTATTTAATGATTCAACAAATTATTTTCAGACTCGTACTTAATCAAGCTTTAAGTTCAACAAAATCATTTTTGTGTTCTTTCCTAATATTTACGAATTTCTGAAATATATATAAAGCTTGACCAAATACGAGTCTGAAAATAATATCTATATATATATATATATA